TGATTAGCCACAACAGAATAATTTAAAAATAATTAGCCGTTATAATAATCTAGGAAATTAGCAAAGAAGACAACAAGGATAACATGGACGAAAAATAAAGACATTGGTAAGCCATCTTTTAGAGAATGTGAGAAATGTTGCAGCAGATCCAAAAGAGTTTGCAGTTTTTGCAACTACCTTCGAAATCGACTGTGTAATCATGGCCATAAAGGCAGTGAAGAGATGAAACAGCTTAAGAAATTAGTTATGTATGGTCGGTAATGTTATTTGAAATTCAAAATAATGTTTCATATTATGTTCGATGTTATGTTGTTTGAACTTGTATATTATTGTATGTTGGATCTTATCTTGTTTCGCAATTGTTGTGTTGGATGTTATGTTATGTTATGAACATTTTACAAAGGAATGAACATAAATTTTTTAAAAAGTATGAAAATCCCAAAATTTTAGTATGAAAGTCCTTATACCTTACAGGTGTACACATCATAGGTGTACACCTCCAGGTGTACACATCATAGGTGTACACCTTCAGGTGTACATTTTAAAGTGTACACCAATGTCACATTAATAATTTTTCAAAGAGAATGAACCAAGGTCATATTAATAATTTTTCAATGTCAACACTTTAAGGTTTACACATCATATGTGTACAACTAAGATCTGTACACTTATGATGTGTACACCTTCAAGGTGTACACCAATATCATCTTACGTCTATTTCAAAGCTTAAAATAGGAATAACCCCAATATTGAAATAAAACTGCTAAGAGTTTAAATGTAACCAAATTGAGTCATTAAAGTCTACAAACAGTCATCAACTTAATAAACCCTTAACCATCATTAGCTATCTTGGTGTTTCTAATGAATTCCTCATAGGTGTCCATCGCATATTTATGACGAAAGATGTCTATCTTTTTCTCATCGATCTGCTGCATGTCCGTATAACTACATCCCGCTGCATGCATATTAAAGAATTTAACCGCGCAGTGTCCACAGTCGCCAGATCTTTCATTGTTGTAAAGGTTTTTTGCTGCTTCCACGTAAATGATTCACCATCTTCAGGTGTAGTCCACACAGTTGGAGGCAGAAACGCAGCTAAAACATAAGGCAATGAACATAGTAGAGGATTCATGTGCTCATTAAACTCTTCATTAGTCGAGTTACGAGGAACATTGCAATCCAAGATCTCCACAAGTTTCGCAACGTAAGTCGATTACCAGGCCCACCCAATGATCATTTCCCCACATCATTCGGACGTACACCCTCTCGACATCGTGTAATAACTCCATCTTCCTACCCCGACGACGACCTGTTTTGCCGCTAACTAAGCAACCCACGATCCCACCCATTCGTATTTCAACTTATCCGGGATATTCTCGAACAGTGTGTACCTTGACAGGATACAGGCAATAGAGTAGTAGTCAACAAACCAGTACCTATGATTTAGGTAATTCCTTCCATGCTGCCTCCATAGCATACTAATTCAACCGTGAATGTGCTGCAAAGTTTTCCCAAAAAAAAAAACAAACATCAAGTCTATGAAATCTTAAAAGTGTACAACTGCATCTTTTGAATACCTCGGTTGAGATCCAGTTTGTTGGCCTAGACAACGATAGGAAGAATTGATTTGAGATACGACTCTTAGTGACAATTTCAAATTCTCTGTCATATTTAAAAGAACTAAACTATATTTATAAGCAAGATTTTTACATATTTATACAACTTACTGATTTGGCTTCTGTCAGAGTAATTTCTGAAACTCTCTAAATGTGCCTCTCTACGTCGCCTAAAGGTGTATACTTAGGTTTCTTGGAGCTTTGGAAACGCTTTTTTAATCTCTCGTCTGGGTGTATACTCCTCCAATCTTGGTTGACCATTGTAGAATCCACTCCCCCCCCCCCCGAGTTCCCTTTTTTGGTTGAGCTACTTGGAATACATGTCGCTTCTCCTTCTTCTTCTGTTGATGTTGGAGTATCATCCTCTGGTGGTGTCTTGTAATCTTCAGAATTTGTTGGTGAGGGTGGGTTTTGACGTCTGGTATCCTGTGGTACAGAGGCAAACAATGTGAAAGTCGATTAATCATTTTCTTACCTCGTCCGCAAACCCCATCATGTTGGGTATAATCATCAGGAAAACTGTCCCAGTTTCTCGTCTTATCCTCTTCCAACCCATCAACCAAGTTCCTCATTGGTTTTTTACTTGCAGACCCACCAATGTCATCAGTTCTATCAACACTGTAATATCGTCGTTTCTTTTGGATATCTCTCCCAGTAAAATCATCAGCAGTGTTGGGCATGAATTTTTTGCCTTCCTCTTTGCTTTGCGTAACTGTGAATGTGCCTCCTACAATAAATGGATTGCCACATCTTACGTTAGAATGTATCCAATTATAAATTTCATCATGCAATCTTTTCACTTGTGAGTTCACCTCTTCTCGGATCCAGCCTTTCAACTCTTTGTTGTTATCTATTATGTTTCCTGAATCAGGCTCTTTACTAAGACCACGCCTAGGACGAGATGGTCCATGCGGCAACGGACTCAAACTAGCAGGTTCATCAAAGTGTTTGTGAAACTCCCTACTATACTTTCACATGGTTTTCGAACATCTTTCACCCTAACCTTTGCAGTGGGTTTAATAGGTGGAAGGGTTGAATCACCACCAATGAAATCTGTTGCTTTGAATTTGTGTCATTCCCGCATAAGACTAACTAAGTGAGAACTCGGGGGTCTTCTCTTTCTTCCTCCCATTTTGGATTCCCACCTTCATCTAGGAGTGAAAACATTACAGCAACCTAACTAACAACATTGAAAGTGAATGATAAAGAAGTTGTCAACATTTTCTTCATCTGACTTGTGCAAATTATTAAAGCGGGTATAATGTACCTCTGAATCAGCTTCAACTTGAACTATGTCTTCAAAGCTAAGAAGTGTATTTTTTGAGTTACATCCGTCAGGATCTTCCAAGTAAGTTGTCGTCTTATTAGCTTCCAGAATTTTTTTTAACAAAGCAGGGATGGCTTTGAAAGACATCAATTTCAGCACTAAAGAGAAACCATAGCATGCAGTTGTTTTATGATTCAGACGTTTCTGCATTATTCCTAGGGATTTACCAACTTCATAAAGCAAAGCAGGTTCAGGCGGTATCAATCTCGACAAAGTGATGAGGAATGCCTCTCTTCCCCAAGGATATTGAAGAAATGATTCGGTGTATGCAAGCATTTTAACATACGATGGCGTACATCGGAGATGTTTGTGACCACAAACTAGCAGACCATCAACAAGCGCAAAGAGCGCTAATGGCAGACGCTTCCACTGAGGAAGATTTGATTCTTCAAGCATTCCGAGAACTTTTGTTACAGTAACGTCTACATCTTCAGTCTTAAACAGCTCTTTCCACTTATGACTACCATCTGTCACATCTCCGAACGGTCTATGGTTTTCAGCTTTTTCCACAAGAGGGTCGGATTTCAAGCTTGTGATGTCACAAAATTCACGAAGGGAAAACTGTAGTGGGGTATCTGCAAATAAGAACCACAACTCATATCTTAGAGGTGTTACCAGTTGACGGCTGAGGAAAGAATGTAAGAGTTTAGCGAATTTTGGGCAGAGCGAGACTGGATAGTGGAACAAAGCTCCAAACTAACTTCCCAGCAGAGTGTTAAGTTCCGGCGTGCCTCCACGCGACTTCACTAACGATCATATGATTGTTGCCTTTGAATATGATTGATGGAGATGCCACGATAAGCTCTGTGTAGGACGATGTTCCGATAAACTCTGGGTTTGGAGACATTCACTCTTCCTCGCTTGTTGTGTTGTATTCTGAAATCCAATAAGCAAAAGAGATGTTTCAAAGAACCACTAGCGTTTTTGACTACAAAGGTGAAGAATATCTCTACCTGCATATTGTGGCGGAGGTTTAGCACTCGGCGGAGATTTTCGGCCTTTCAATTGAACGTTGGGTTGACTCCGAGTGACCCTCTTCGAGGTGCTATGACTATGCAATTAATAAACTATGGAACAGCGTTAAATTTCACCAAGAATCGAATTTGTTGAATGAAAAAGATTCCAAGTGGGTATGATTGCCTCCTTTTCTTCTCAATTTGTTCTTACGATTTTATGGGCAGTATGCTTAACTGTAACTAGATCGATTGTAAATGGTCAATTCGAAATGATTATGAATAATTGAATTAAATTTATGTGTTACAATATAATTTTTCAATCCATTTTATTTTATGAAATTTGAATGATTTAGAAAAATTGTAATTTCAATTATTTTTTTCTTTTTTTAATTGAAATAGCAAAAGCATAAATAATGTATCTGACAAAGGTTAAAAAAAGACATTTAAACTTAAGTTTATATGGGCAGTTGTCCAACCAGCAAATAAAAACTTATAATAGCCCAACCAGCAAATTACAAATTTAAAGATTGCCCAATTTGCCAATTTTTTCTTTTTAGTATTGCAAAGTTTTGGATCTTTTCTGGTTTTTCAATATTTTTTTTACTTTTATATTTTTCGTATTTTTGAGATAGTTTAGAACTTTTTCTAGTAAAGAATTGTCTTTACAAGTTATAACGACTATATACATATATAGTTTTCCCCTTTAAGAAATAGTTAAATAGTTGACGTCAAAAAAAAAAGAAAAGTTAAATAGTTTTCTGTTAGTACTGTTCCAATTGTCACAACTAACAAGCATGGACTTTTTAGCAATAAAACACTAACAAGTATGGACTTGTGACACAAACAACTGGAAAGTGACACACTGAGACCTCACGGGATTGCATGAGATGCTTGTGGACATAGCCGTAGCTAAAAAGAAGTATTTTAAGACAGTGAGAGAAGAACTAAAAACAACTGTCACAACTCGTCCAGCACATGAAGCCAATTATGACATACCGAACCAAACCAACTAACCACCCATTTCCTAAGTATATAACTGTGAACTCCACTCAAACCTTTTTCAAGCTCATTCTTCTTGAAACCTGTCAACAATTTAACTTAATGGCAATTCACCGTTTTGTATTGTTAGTTAGTTTGAGTCTGGTGTTGTTTGGTCTAGAAACGGCCGTGTCACAGCGACAACAACAGTCACAAGTCCCATGTTTATACATCTTTGGTGACTCCTTAGTCGATAACGGAAACAATAACAGGTTTGGTTTTGCTTTTTCTATGTTANTGAAACCTGTCAACAATTTAACTTAATGGCAATTCACCGTTTTGTATTGTTAGTTAGTTTGAGTCTGGTGTTGTTTGGTCTAGAAACGGCCGTGTCACAGCGACAACAACAGTCACAAGTCCCATGTTTATACATCTTTGGTGACTCCTTAGTCGATAACGGAAACAATAACAGGTTTGGTTTTGCTTTTTCTATGTTACTAGGTGATTTTCCCGTGCTCATGCACGGGTATGCACATTCATAAAAGTAAAATTTTATAATAATTAATTGATATTTATTTTTAGTTTTAAATCAATTTATATTTATAATTTATATTAATATATTATATTATTATAACTATACATATGACTCTGGATATATTATTTTCGATTTAATTATTTTTTGGATTAATAGTCGGTTTATATATCAATTTGGTATATTGAATAATATCTATTTTTCGAGTTCAAATATAATATTTTTATTCTAAATATACTAAAACTTTGATTAATTTTCTTATTTCATTTTGGTTCGTTATTGTCTTAGATATGTAAATATACTATGGTTAAATTATGTATAACTTAATATATATTGTGCTTAAAAAGAAATAAATAATAAGTTGAAGTGCTTGATTCAAAATTACATAAATTAATATAATGATAATATTTTTAAGTCTCATGCATATATATAAATTCTACAAATTGGTTAATATTTTCTTTTTCTTTTTAATATGCTTTGAGTCAACCTCTAATTTATATGTACAAAATTAAATATATTATTATTATAAATTATATGTTATTATTTTAGTTAGATATTTAATTTGGATATAAATTAGATTAGCCGATTCATTCATTTTGTGAGTATATTGAGTTAAATATATTTTTAAATTAAAATTGAAGTATAATTACTTCTTATTTTAGTAAAGTCAAATCAAATTAGTTTTATGTATCGCTTAAATATACATGTATTTTCATAATATTTATTTACTCTTTATTTTAGTTAAGTCAAATCAAATTATATTTTCATAATATTTATCAAATTATATGTTTATTTCTAAACAATATTAGAAAATAAACTGTAACTGATAAATTTTTGAATGTTCACGAACATATATATTTTTATTATTTTGAAAATATATTTTATGTTATTTAAAATATATATTAGTGGGGTATTACTATTTTGTGAACTTTCCTTTTTAATAAAGTCATATTATATAAACAAAATTTCGTTTTTAAATTTGTTTTAAAACTTTAGAAATATTTCATTTTTATTATATATGTTATTTGAAAAAATGTAAAAAAAGAAATTACAAAAAAAAATTAATAATAATCTTAAAATCTAATAATTCATTAAGAGTATCTATCTAATCAACCATCGCGAGAGTTAACGTGAGTGCGACACGTAGGAAACTGACTTCTCAAATAATATTATAAAATTAAATATATTATTATTATAAATTATATGTTCTTATTGTAGTAAGATGTTTAATTTGAATATACATTAGATTAGTCCGGTCATTCATTTTGTGAGTATATTGAGTTAAATATATTTTTAAATTAAGATTGAAATATAATTACTTTTTATTTTAGATAAGTCCAATCAAATTAGTTTTATGTATTGCTTAAATATACATGTATTTTCATAATATTTATTTACTCTTTATTTTAGTTAAGTCAATTCAAATTATATTTTCATAATATTTGTCAAATTATATGTTGATTTTTAAACAATATTAGAAAATAAACTGTAACTGATAAATTTTTGAATGTTCACGAACATATATATTTTTATTATTTTGAAAATATATTTTATGTTATTTAAAATATATATTAGTGGGGTATTACTATTTTGTGAA